CCCCCCCCCCCTGGCTTTTGTCTTCACGAGCAGGCACCAAGTACGTTGGTCCCATCCACGGGCGACTCATGGCCTCCACATCAGCGGCAGCATTGTTTGGGCCGAGCTTCATCCTGAGCTTGCGCAGCTCGAGCGAGATGAGCGCGATAAATGACCTCCTGGAGAAGGTCGACCCGGCCCGATTCCAGAAGATGTTCAACACGGGCGTAGAAGATGCTCAGATGCTGATCGACGTGAGCGCTCCTGGTCTCTCTGCATTTTTTTTCGACCCACACACAGGCTGCTGTCTCCAGGTCTCCAGGGACAAAGAACGACCGCACTCGGAACATCGTGGTGCCGTAGGCAGCGTCTTCTTGGTGTTGGTCTTCCCACGAAATCGAGGCCTCAGTCTCGCAGCGCGGTCTTGGCAGTAGGGCAACTGATGTTTTTTTTTTCACAACAAAGTGTCCAAACAGCGGGGGAAATGTGCCCTTCGCATTGCATACCCTTTGTCTTTTCATTCTGTGGGGCACCGTGCTTCTGAACGAGAAAATAATCTGCTCCTTACTTGGAGCGGGGAGTGCCCTAACATCATTTTTGGTGTCCTGAAGGCTAGGCGATAATTCGAGAAGGAGGAATACTTTGGTGTTGCTGCACGTGACGTTGTTGGGGTGCACATCTTTCAACTTCTTACGTAAATCCTCACAACCTGCCGCGCTATGGTTCTCCGGACAACTCCCGTTGACTTCACGGCGTCTCTGTTGGCCACGGTCGAGCAAGTTTGTTTCGGGTCCTTGTTGGGGTGTATGGTGCTGCGACAGAAGTTGGCATCTTCTGCAGAGAAGAATAGCGCTGTAGACCGTGAGGCTTTTCGTAACAAGTGTTGAGGAAGCTGAAACGTTTGGAGTGTATTCATCGCGCGCCCCCTTGCCATTCTCCCCCCTAACCCGAACCCGAACCCTAATCCTAACCTTGGTTTCTGCCCGCGCTGATGGTTCGCATCGCAGTCCAAGGCGTTGACCATCGGAAAGCTGATGGAACTCGTTCCTGCGGGCACCCCCGACCCAACTCCTTTCATCTACGACTCCACCCTGTACACGATGGCGGGCCTGATGGTGAGTGAAAATCTCCGAAGAATTTGTCCCCCGATCGATCAGCCATAGATTCGATCATGCGGTTCGTGTTGCGAGCGAGAGTGCAGGATCTGGTTCGTCCTTGCTTCTACGTAGGACTCCACCTTCGAATACTAGGTTCCTTACTTCCAAGCGTGTTTGGTTTGGGCTTTCTTGTTCATGAAATATGTGAGCAACGAGACTCTTATTTCTCATACATACTTGTTTTGCGGATTATCGGCCCGTCCGTTCTCCCATCCTCCTGCTGCCCGCACGATAACGCAGGGAGTGGCGGCAGTCGCGCACTCGACGATCAGGCCTATGAACCCCAAGTACTTCGAGAAGGCCGACACCTCCCCGCTAGAGGTGGAGTCCGTCCTGCGCTCGCCGGTAGCGGCTGCCGTGGGCGGCGGTGCGGCCTTCTTCCCCTCGATGGCTAGCCATATGGTTCCGGCTTCTGTCCTGCCGCTCCGAAAGTAGGGGGTCAGTCGCCTAGAGTCTTGTAGGGAACCTGCCAGCCTCTTGGTGGGTCAAGATCGTCTTTCGTCACCGGAGCGGTTTTTGACATTGTTACGAATTTTTGAAGTGAGAGGAGCGATTGGGTCTCTCGGCGTGCCTGCCGTCGTGTTTGTGGCATTTGGGTTGGGGCTTTTTTTCTTCCGGCACAGCAGTGAGTGCGGTGGAAAAAGACGGTCTCGACCACTTGCGAAGGTAGCTGGCAGCCATTTCCTAGGCAGGAATCAAGGCACTGTGTCAGCTTCCCAGAAGTCACATGGCGTGAGCCCCGAATCATATATGGGGGCAGATGGATACGTGATGCGACCATGGACGTGATGGCATGTGTGTGAGTCGTGCCATGGGTCGGCGGCAGAGAGAAGTGGGGGGTGAGGTGGGGCATCGTTGTAGATAAAATGGTGACGCGCTTGGGAGTTGTGCCGTTATTTTGGATGCCCACCTGACGACAGGGCTTGGTGCTTGTTTTTTCCGCAAGGAGGCCCGGGACGAGAGTGCGAATGATATGCGCTTCGAAGGTGTATTGGAGATAGTACCTCAAGTGGAAATATTGTTTTCTAGCTGCATCATGAAATAGGCAACAGACCCCTGAACAACAGCGTGAATCTGGATCACAGGCGAAGTAGTAGCGGCCTTTCCCGTAGGATACAAAAAACGGGAAAAGTGGTGGGGTGGGTGTGCCGCATCAGCGGTAGGTCAGTCTATTCCGAGGAATTTCCTCGGTGTTCTTGTCGAGAGGGCGGTGTCTCTGCTAGGTATCGTGTACGCAAGACATCACCCGCTCCGGCGAATGTTTCAGATACGAACCAGCTCCACATAGGGTGCGCGGTTCGTAGCCCCCTTGACGGTAGTCTAGAGCTATAGACTATAAGAGTTCCTTGAGCATGCGGTGAGGAATTCTGGCGTATGGATGGTGACCCTGTGGCGGGTCGGGCTATGAGTTGGTCAGGAACACGAGACGATTGAACGAGGAATGGCACAAGTTCTCTTTTAAAACCATGTGACCAATGATAACTTTTCCAGGCAGTTTGCTGCCACGGCCGCCACCACTGCAGAATCAGGATTCAAGCGATGCCCGTCGGACCCCTGCCTGAAAATGAGAGCTAGAGCGGGGACCCCCGCCCTCGCCGCACCTTCTCCGCCAGCTAGCTTTGACGGTCGATCTCGCACGCTCCTCTTGGTCTTCCGAGGTCGTGGCCAACCATCAATCGGAGCTGTTACCCTACCCTATCGACACACCGTTTTCCACGTGCAGCACCATCGGCTCTCCCACAGAGGCATTCACCTAGGTTTTACGATTGGTCACGCGGGAACCAGAGAGGTTGCAGGGACGGTGGCCGCACTCCAACCGAGGCCAATGATACCGGTGGCAGGGGGCGCCTATATGCACAACCCAAACGCCAACATAGAACGCTGTACCGACAGCAGGAAACCCCTATCCATGTGCAGCCTCCAGTATACTGAAAACATCGGTAAAAGCATCACAGATAATCTGTTGGGTGTGTTTTGTCTCATATGATATGTACCGCGGGGCCATCCCCCAGGCTATTCAATCGTTCCCCAAAATCAAGAGCTACCTGCGCTTGAAGTCGTCGGTGGATGTTCCCCCTGTTGCACAGCACTGGAAACGTCGGGCGGTCCTTCGGCTCCTGGGCCCAGCATTTGGGCACCATCTCTGCAATGTCTACGGGAGCATCCGCGGGAATCGCGGGGCGTTCCTCCCGCATGACAACACCGAAGTAAATGTCTCAAAGCCGAGCTTGGTCCTAAGGTGTCTGTCTCGTCAGCACCTCCCATGCCACCATCCCGAAGCTGTAGACGTCGCCCGCCTTGGATGTTCCTTGGTCTCCAGCACCTTCTCGCGCGCAGATGAAAGAAAACGATGCCAGACGCGCAATTCCAACGCCGAAGACGAGCCTCTTCGATCGCAGGCACAGGACAATTTATCTTCAACTTACATTTACATTTGATGGACGTACACCTTTACTGTTCAAAGCTGTGCAATATCCCGTTCCGGCTAGGATTGCTGGATCGCGGGAGCGCGATCACCGAGACAACAGCAACGTGAACTTCCCAATTGGTCCACTTCGGATGGATGCCCGTCGGACCAAGCACCGCCCACGTACAACACGTAGCCCCAGGGACCTCCCTCACTGCTCGTGCCGCCGATGTTGACACCCCATAGGCACTGCCAATTGCTTTGAAGCACGACCCGTTGTTTGAGATGGCTCCGGTGATGGGTGCTTTGCGCCACATACCGGAAAGAAGACGTCCACATGGCATGACCCATGTGGTTTCCCACTTGGGTGTGGCAAAGGTCTCTCATAAAGTAGTCTTAGTCCTGTTGGAGGCAGGCTGATCTTGAAGTGAAAACTGTGTTCAAAATCTCTCAAACCGTCGTGACGTACACAACTAGCCGGTTAGGCGCGGGGCAACGCCAAGAAAGGTGACTTTCCCGTCTACAAGTGCGCATGGATCTGCGGATAATGGCGCACGGACGCATAGCAACACCAACATTTCGCGGGAGTCGCACAGTTTGAGCGGCAGCACCTACAGCCGTTAGTACAAGTTCGTGTTTCTTACGATGACACGCATATGCTCGTGACGCTGCTGATGAGACCTTCAATTTGGGCCGCTTCTTGGAAGAAGAAATGGCAAGAGGCGTCTGGACCCGATTTTTAAATCTTTTGGCTCTCGCTCTCAATTTCATGCTTCGCTCTCAATTTCACCAATATGCTGTTTATAGTAGTTTTCCGTTGGATGGAGAAGGAGGACAACCAAAAGACGATGTCCAAGGCGCCAGAGACGTCGAGCTTCCAAGACCAAAGAGTTCCACAAAAACGCCGACGTACCCACATGAGCTGACAATATGCGCGTCTTCCGAAACTCTGAAATATTCTGATGTACTTCAAAATCTCATTCCACATCCATCCATGCAGGTTGCCTGAAGCCTTGCACACAAGTTCAACGTCGCGTAACGTGTTTCGGATAGTTTGGAGAGCGCCGCGTTTAGCGCCGTTCAGTCTAGATTTTGCTGCATGTATCACATAATCTTACATCTGAAGCAGTGCGGCAATCCAACTGAGGCGCATCTCAACCACAATGAGCAGACCGCGTACGTTCGTTCACTTCACATGTTGAGTAGCTTGTGTGTCGGTGCCTTGGCGCGCGGGGTCCCTTGGTTGGGAAATAAAAGAGCCAACGGCGCGGTAGCCGCCAACGGTACAGTGTAGGAACTATGATGGGCGCGACAGCCTTCTACTTTGGGATGGAGCGTGATAGCTCGGGTATGGTATCTCTGGATGTGGCGTGGAAGCCTGGTGACGTGATAGTCGTGGTGTCTCTATATGTATAAGTAAGGACGTGGATGTCCGGAAGGCGTGATAGCCGGGTGGCGTGATAGTCAGGATTGGCGTGGAAGTCGTGGCGTCATAGCCGTGGTAGCGTGATAGCCGGGGAAAAAGGATTTGATTGCACATAGGAACGAGAAAAAAAAGGAAACAAAAACAAGTAATAAGTGAGAAACCGCACAATCACCATATATATCCGTTGTAGACACACACCCGTACCCCAACGCCTCAATCCTGTAATATACAGCAAAGTTGGTACCATCAAATCGAATCCAAAGGAACTGCTGAACCCCCAAACTCCCCGCTCCATCTGCTCGGAAATTTCTTGCTTGCAATAATCTGTCGATGCTGTGAGTACGTCTAACAGCCCCCATACTCGCTGCATTGACAAGACCACACCCGGACTTTAATATACTATCCTGATTATCATCCTATACATAACACATACATACCTGACCAAAATGAAATTAAGTGCAAGACATTCCCTTCATCCCATACTGCATTCTTGTCACAACACAAAAACCCTTAAACTAGAAACATTCTTTAGAATTCCCATCGGTTTGCATCATTGCCAACCATTAAACCAGAAATTTGCGACAATTTCCACCGGTCAATCTTGACTCGATTTCTCAGAAAATCAAACAAATCAACACAAAAACCAAAAATCGAAAGAAAAAAACAAAAGACACGAGACCCAAAAACGACAAAGATCTCCCGGACTATTCACTTCGAGTTCATCACGTAGTCCCGGTGGGAAACAAACTCTCCTTCAGGTAGCGCCTTCGTGAGGAAGTCGGCATGCTGATACTTTGACGCTACGTGGATGATCTCTACCTCCGTCTCATCTACGAGCTGCCTGAGGAAGTGTAGCCGCACGTCGATGTGCTTCGAGTTGGAATTCGAGATCGGGTGTTTTGCGATCTGGATAGCCCCTTCGTTATCTTCATACAGTAGAATGCACGGCCGCAACTCCTGATGCAACATGAAACGCCAAACCTGCCTCAATAACAAAATCTCCTTCCCCATGTCCGCCATCGCCACGTATTTTGCCTGCGTGATAGACAAAGTCACACACTTCTGAGTCTTGGAGAACCATGCAATCGCCCCTTCTGCACACATCACTACCCTTCCCGAAACCGACCTACGGTCTGCCGCACGAGAAGTGTAGTCCGCGTCGACAAACGCAATCAAAGAAATCCCGAAACCGTCCCCCTCTGAAAAGAAATCCCCAAAGAACTAGCCCTAACTCCATATCCTNTAGACAAAGTCACACACTTCTGAGTCTTGGAGAACCATGCAATCGCCCCTTCTGCACACATCACTACCCTTCCCGAAACCGACCTACGGTCTGCCGCACGAGAAGTGTAGTCCGCGTCGACAAACGCAATCAAAGAAATCCCGAAACCGTCCCCCTCTGAAAAGAAATCCCCAAAGAACTAGCCCTAACTCCATATCCTAAATGCTAAGTGCAGCCTTCTAGTGGATCAACTTCGGTGCACTACAGTACCTCGCCACTGCTCTCACCCAATTCGCGATATCCGGCCTAGTTAACAAGGCAATCCACGACAGCGAACCGACCAGCGCGCACAACGGGTACTCTACGCTCGGCTCGTCCAAGTCGATGCCCCAAAGTCTCCAGGTGGTGGGCAAAGGAATGCCCCCTCCCCACTCGACACCAACTTGGCAACGACGTTGTAAAACAAGCCAATTCACTTCGTGAACTCGGCAACCAGGTTACCGTTTTTTTTTTTTTCCTCCGTTTATTTTTTTTGGGCGGTAACCATAATGATGGTTGAGTAGATCATGTTGTGCGGGGTGAACCCTCACTCCGCGCAAGGGGGATGAT